TCTGGGTGATGAGAACACTGACTCAAGCATTACAAAAGCAATCCATGTAACCAAAAACATTTGTACCCTCATATTTTAGGAAAAAAATAAATAAAGACCTGACCACATTTGTGGCTCCGGGGAAGAATTTAACAGAGAGATTGAAAATAAGGAAAAAAATTCCTGAAGAAAATGAGCCATATGGGCGACCTAAGACCAAGGTGGATAATGATGAGCTGAAAGCTGTAGTGGAAGCGAATCCACCTCAACCTACGCATGAAATAGCAGCAAGGTTTGACATTATTATTCCAACAATATTGGACCATTTGAAACAAATCAGCAAGGTAAAGAAGCTGGATAGGTGGGTTCCACATGAATTAAACGAGTGTCAGAAGAGAAATCATCTCTAGGCTTGTCTTTCTTTTCTGTCATGACATAAAGGTGAACAATTCCTACACCATATTGTTAGGTGTGATGAAAAATGGATTCTTTTTGACAATCACAATAGTTCGGCACAATGGTCAGATAAGGATGAAGTGCCAAAACACAGTCCAAAACCGAATATTCATCGAAAAAAGCTAATGGTGTCTGTTTTGTGGTCCAACACTGGTATTATCCATTACAGCTTCATGAAACCTGGTCAATTGATTACAAGGGATGTCTACTGCAACCAACTGGATGAAATGATGAGGATGCTTGTGATTAAGCAGCCGAAATTGGTCAATAGAGACAGGCCGATCCTCTTACAAGACCACGTGTTGCAAAAACAATGCTGCTCAAACTACAGAAGATGGACTTGGAAACTCTCTGTCATCCACTGTATTCACCAGACCTTGCACCAACTGACTAGCACTTCTTTCAAGCTTTGGCCCACTTCTTGCAAGGGAAAATATTCAATTCTCAACAAGCTGTGGAAAATGCCTTTCATGATTTCATCACCACTTCCTCTCCAGGCTTCTTCGCTGCTGGCATAAACAAGCCACTGTTAAGATGGCAAAACCGTGTCGATAGTTTAGGCTCATACTTTGATTGATTGTACTGCTTGTTGTTTGAGATATAATAAACTACACTTTTGATTTGAAATCAGACATTTCATATTTAGTAACCTAACTTATAAATTTGTAATGAAATCATTTGCCTGGAGACTTTCTGGACATTTCTGTTTATCCCCTGAATTCTTTATATATGGTGTTGAACTGCACACTCTAAAGTCAATGGCAAAGTTATCAGGACTAGTTTCTCATACACATTTATATCCCATATGTACCTGAACAAATGTAGGTTTATTTCCCTGTAATTAACCCTCAGAAAAGTCATCTTTCTCTAGGCCGAACAAAATCTCTTTTTAAAGCACATTCTATTTACTTATTTGAACAGCAATTAATATTTGGGGAAATCACATTAGATTAGAACCACCTCAATCAATGACTTTCAGAAGACTGAAAAAAGCCACCAGAATTATTTAAAAAGAAGAGGCAAAGAAAAAAAAAGAGGCAAAGAAATTAAACAGTGATTTAGTCATTATTCTTGGAGATGTCACCTCAAAAACAAGCATAGGATGTGTTACAAACAAGCACTTTAAAGATCATTTCTGAGAACAATGCAAGTGATTAAACTACAGGATGAATGAAAGAAGCTGCTAATTTAATGTTTCTATAATGGGTGATGTGAAGCATGGGATTTCTTATAACATTATACATATGGGTAAAACATTACTATCTGTCTAAGTAAACCATTATTTTCTTTCAAATAAACTTAAGATAACAAACTGACAGACTTTGGAAAACTGGTAAGTGCAAAATGTCAGATAAATGTAAATATAATGAATAAAATCCACGAGTGGAAAGAAGTTAATATATCATTTTATATAATTAAAGCATGCACATATAATAAATTTTTTTCATCTCTAAAATAGGATCTACAGATTGAAATCTAAACAAACTTGTCTTTTAAAATTACTTTATAGTATATTTAGGCAACATCCAGAACCATCCCTCCCCAAATAAAAAGCGACAAAACTACAGAAATCACACCAGACCAAAGATTCTGAGCCTTGGCACTACTGATATTTGAGGCTGGGTAATTCTTTCTTGCAAGGGCTGTCCTGTGCATCGTAGCATGTTTAGCAGCATCCTTGGCCTCTTCCCACCAGATACCAGCGGTATCTCTCCTTGCCCCAAGTTGACAAAAATGCTTCCAGACAAATGTCCACTGGGGGTGGGGGATGGGGGACACAGCTCCAATTGAGAACCACTATACTAGACAAATGGTATGTCAAACATCCCTGTGTAAGTAGCTTCCACATTTTTCTTGATGTCCTATTTTCTAATTGTCTGAAATCTAATTAAAACAGAGGTTCCTCTCTGGAGAAAACAGTTGGTTACCATCACCATTACCTAACTACTTCTCTATTACATGTAAAAGTAAGAAATTCAAATAAGGTGTTATGTACAGCTGTTACTGATAATTAACACTGCAAAATACCCATTAAAATAAAGGAAGTGTTCATAGAACCAAATCTGTAAGATATAGCAATTGAAATAAATCTTCATCAGAGTGGAAATATTAGATACTAGTATATAGAACGCTATTAGCACTTACTCAAATTCTGAATTTTTCTTAACAGAAACTGAAATTACTAGTACTAATGAAGGGGAATATAAACATGGTCAATAGCAGATATTTCAAATAGTTTGACCAATTTTTGTTTTTTGCAATCATCTGGATATGATTGCTAAAATTAATTTATAGTCTCTGAATCAATATAATATGGACAGAAGAGATGAACATAAAATTACTTGAAGAATTTGGACCAAAGTTAAATATTCATTAAGGATAACTGAATGTGGACTAATTTTTTCGAAACATTTTATTTTCACATGCTGATGTAATTGTTTACATCTAGACACAATAACAAATACAAAACAAAATGCAAGACTCTCAATTTCTAGTTCGTTTAAAAAGAATTTCTTTATTAAACCTGTTACAGTAGGATACATTTTTCAAAATATATGTACAAAAAAATTCTGGAAGGATTATCACCAAAAATGTAATCAATGAGGTTACTTTGCTTTATTTTTGCTTCTCTGAATTCTCTAATTTTTTCTATAATGAATGTGTATTTTTTTAAACCTTAAGCAAATTCTTTTTCACTACCTTGTTCCACCAATTTTATCATAGTTTATGTCCTATCAGCCAGGATCTTGGACAATTGTTGAAACTAATCTTATTTCCTGGGTTTTATTTCAAACTATCCTGAACTTTTACCACAGAAATTTTTGTTAAAGGCATATTCCATTAACCAGAGTTAAAATGTGACCTTTGGTAAACTTGATTTTATTAACAGATGAAAACTATGCACAAAAATCCAACTGTCTTATAATTAGATCTTCAAGTTAGGAGGTGAATACTCTATGCAGCATAAGACAAACTATAGCTCTTACCTTTTAATTTCCTACCAAATTTCTTTTTAAAAGGATAAACATATATATTTTTAATTTGGCAATTCCATATTCAGTGAAAATCAATTCATATTTAATTACTGTGGAATTTTGACAATTCCAGCAATGGCGAAGCTAAATTTTATCTCACTATTATGAAACAAAAGTAACATTGTAAGATTTCAAATATGTTTAACCTGGTAAAAATGAGAATGTATTTCAATCGAGAGTATACCATCTAAAAAAATAGTATTACTATCTAGTCATATGAGTTTCTCATTACATTTTTGCAGCCCCTAAATGTTCACAATAAATGTAGCATTCACATACTATAGTCCATGAAAAGAGTATATTCTTTTATTGGTTTTTGTTCATACACGTTAAATTTCAACTTTCAATAATAAAATTCAACAAATTTGATTCCTTAATCATAAAAACTTGCTTTACACATTATTTACATGATGCCAAAGTCCATACAAAACATCACAAAGATCTGATTGACTCTATGCATGGTACCACCACACTGAAGGAGGACAGCTAGCTAATCAACTAACATACATTCAAAGATTAAATTGTAGATATGCACAGTGTATTTGGCACTGTTCATTAATATTGTAACACCTTCCTGTTAAAGACAGACGTTCTTAAGCCTTAGTCACAATATATCAGAATCTGCTATTCACATTAAAACCAGCTTTTAAACTTTATAACAGTAATCAATTGTTTTTTTTTAAAAAAAAACAAAAAAACATGAGAACTAGGAATGGAATTCAAATCCTCCAATTTCTTTCTCTGCTCCAAACTCCCAGCCAGAACGTAGGTTTAATTAGGTAATTTTTCCATTTTGAGGCGTATCAGGAAGAAACAATTTAAAGACAATACCTTTCAATACACGTATAAAGACACACACTTTTCTTTAAAATTATCAGTTCTTCTTGGGAGATCAAAGGGAGTCCTCATGACGCATAAATTGTAATAATTTTGGCAAGAATTATAGAACGACCAATGCCATTCAAGTTATGAAGACTGTACTAGCAGTTGAGCTCACATATAGAAGGTTTTGGAATGCCTATATCCGAATTCAGAACCCTTAGCAACTTGTTGTAAGGGTCTCTTCCTAGGACTTTACAATAGATTCAGGTCATAGGCTATAGATGTACTTTAATGTACACACTTATGAAATGGAAGGAGAAAAGTATAGAAATTCAAATATTAAACCTTTAGTGACTTGGGCTATATTCTAATGGGTAATTAATTTGACTACCTTCATTTTAACGAATATTAAATCCCTTCACTTCAACTGGGCCCATTAAATTAATTTAAACTATACACACTCCAGAATGTTTATAAAAGACATTTATACCTATCATGTTTATAAAAGGCATAAATTCAGTCTTAACCTAAGCCAAAAAGCCTCCATATAACATAAATCACAGGAAAGGGGAACAGAAATCAGAAATTCTCTGATAAAGTTTACATAAGCTTCACACAAACTTTTAGCAATAAATTAAGATAAAAAAAACTCAATCCTTAAAACATACAAAGGACTATGAAATACAAAGTAACATGACTAGACCAAAATTTAAATTTAATCATTTTTATTTCAATTGTATTTTAAAATCATAAATGGGGTTTTGTAATCCAAAGTTGAAACATTTACTCTTCATAGTTTCAGAATTTGACAAGCAATTTCAAATCCATTCTTTGCTTTTTCATACTTCTGAAATCTAATATTTGAACTACTCCACCTAAATGTACAATTTTAGATAACTATTGTACACATGAGAGTTTTCTGAAAACAGTCTATCAAAATATAAAGAATGGTCTCTACCCAAGAATCAGCAGTGAGGGAAGAAATATTAAACACATATCAAGAAATCATTTATTCATTTTAAAAATAACAGAACCAGTGCTGTTCTCTGTCATAAGAGAGAACATATAAAATTAATTTATTTTTATAGACTTTGGTAGTATTTTATTCCCTACACAGGCCTCAATCCTACTTAAAGATCTTTTATGCAAAGCAACCATCAGGATTTACTGAGTAAAAATCCCAGGTATTAACATGGCCCTAAAAGTGCTATTCCAAAGAGGAACAGGTTACTTTTGAGGAAAAGAGCTGCCTTGGTAACTTCCCTCAAATACTTATTTTAAATAAAAATAGCTAATGAAAATATTTTTGAAACCAACTTTGAGTATTATATAGCATTCTGCCCACCAAACAAAAAAGGGAATCAAAACATTCTTTCCTTTTATAAGAAATTTTCCAACTTTACTTTTAACATTACAACTTAGTCACTCTTTTTTTGACTATCTAATCCAATATTTAAATTTCTAAAATTCTGCATTTCAATGTAGTAAGAATTCTTTTTCAAATGATCTTCACAACCCAGAACACTGACACCAGAGCAATACTCTCAAGTCACATCGTTTGACTATAATGAAGAGATGAAAATGGACGGGTATCTGAAGACAGGTATTCCCTCTGCTCCGCAAGTGAGCAAGCTCTTAACATATGACCAATACAGAACTCCATTCCTCTGGAGCTCCCTCAAACTCAGAATGTTTCCATTTAACAAGTCAATATATTATTCTTAAAAATTAAAGTTTGGTCATAGGAAGGACTGAACAAAAATTATTCCCCTCCCCCAACAACCAGAACAGCTCTAATCAGCCCTCCTTCTCCCCACAAAAACAGGGAAGTAGATGGGACTGAAGACTTTAAATCTGAAATGTCAGCTCCTAAAACAATGCTATTTGCTCAAGGTTGTAGGTCTTTATATTTCCTTCTCCAATACTTCCCCCATTTATAAGTTTATGTCCATACATACACACATGCACACACACAAGCACACACACACTCACTCTCAAGTAAGACACTTTTCTGTGTTTGTTGATAAATTATGAGGATTATGAACTAGGTGTATACAGGGCTTCATAGGTGCTTTGTAAACATCAGAGTCACTTGGGTCCTTTTCTCGAAAAGCCTAAAACAATTACACAACCAAGGATCACTACTTTCCCACACGCTGTTCACAGGCTGCATACCGACGAAGGGCAGAGAAAAAGTCCTCATAACTGATGTTTAGGTGGGAAGGCAAAGAGCTGAAAACACAGGGAGGAAAAAGCAATTAGACATACACTGTAGTTTGGTGGGGGAAACCAGAGGATAATTACCAAAAAAACAAAGGTTAAGGACAAAATAAATTATAAGCAGAATATGCCAAACCATTTTTACTAAAAGATTATATAAATTCATTGTGAAACAGTTCAAGTAAAAATTCATCTGCTTTTTCCCACAAGAAGAGAAAAGCAACTTGGAGTTAGAGATTCATAACCTGTTAAAGCATAAGCCTAGATTAATGTAAAGCTGGAGATCTATGTATAAAGGACCTCATTCATAGCCACTTTAAGAACTCCTCTTAGAGTAATGCCAGGACTACTTAAAAATGGTTTAGGAAAGCCAGGCTTAATGCTGGGCAGAACTACGCAGCATCCGTGCGTGATGATAGACTGAAGCCACATGGTGAGCCAAGTCACCCACTCCCCCAATTCTGTATCATCTTTTAATAATCTCTGCTATTAACCTTGTCTTACCCACTCTACTAAAATGATATCCTCAAAGAACACATTTAATGCCTTCTTTTCGCTAAAGCTTGCTTCAAATGTCCTCCTCAAACTTCCCACTTTCCTATGTCTTCCTCATCTTACCCCTTCTATCAACAGTCTCATCTCCTATCACTCCTCAATAAACACTGAGTGCCACTACCCCTCCATGCTTCAGAAGTTCTCTTGTTATTTCCCAGTCTGCTGTGTCAGGGCCCCATCCTTCTACTTCTCCATATTGTGGTTGAGACATTTTCCCTGCCTTCATGGTGCTCAGTCTGGTGAAGGGAAGACAAATACAGAGCAAATCTCAAAGTAACATGACAGATCTATGATAGACGTATGTACACAGGTCCACAGGAGAGTCTGTTATGTGCTAGGTATCTGATGTCGATTATCAATTTAAATCCTCAACTCCACTTTAAAATGTCCATTTTACAAATATAGAGAAGTTTAAATAACCTTCCAAACTCGTGTTATTGAGCTACCGAGCCAAGGTTCAAACCAAGATCTATCTGTTCTTCCTCCCTTCAAACCACTCCCAGCTTCACAAGGCATCACTGCTGCCATTCTTGGAGCCTACTGAAAGACACGGAAAATGACCTGAAAACCCCTGGACAAAACCAGATAAGAGAAACATATGCCCACCATAAAAAACTCAGACTTTGGAGATCTGGATTCTATTAATAACTACTTTGTTACAAGCTTAAATAATGCCTCTTCTCCATTTTCCTTACCTATAAAATGAGAAGGTAGGACCAGAAGATTCACAGTTCTTGCTGACTCTAACATGCTATGTGTTCTCTTCTGCCTCTTTGATACTTTTTGTCCCTTCTGCTCCCAAACTTGAAGAATTTTAATAAATTTTGATTTATTAGACATTTTAGGAAAATAAAATAAAGTAAATAAAATTCTGATTTTTAAACATTTGAATGAATTTATTTTCATTTTCAGAAATATATGCATGCAGTTATATTTTATTTGACTGTTAAACTTAGGCTATGTCTGTGTACAGTCACCAAATAAACTCTTTGCTATTAAAGAAATTTGTTACTGAAAATCTCCTTCATTTTATCTTCTGAAGTATTCCAGGTGAAAAATGGTGACATATTTTAAAGAATGAAGTTAGTGATCTTTGCAATGTAAATCACCTCCTGCTTATTATTTTATTAACTGGGCTTACTTTTATATCTTATATACAACAAAAGGGTAGATTCCAAAGAATTTGATTGTTTTAAGTTACCAAACATAAATTTTTTCCTTATAAAATAATCAAAGGTAACATTTTAGGTATAGCATTAATTTAGTATTCAATAAAATATACTATAGCCATTAAAATTATATTTCTAAAGGTTATTTAATGACACAGGTTATATAATCAGTATAAAGAAAGGTTAGAGTAGTTTTCCACTGGAGCAGGTGAGCAATTTTGCCCCCAGGAGGGCAGTGGGCAACATCTGGAGACATTTTGGCTGCCACAACTGGAGGATGGAAGCAGAGGAGAAAAGTGCTGCTGGAAGCTAGTGGGCAGAGGCCAGGGATGTTGCTAAGCTGCTAAGCATCCTATAGTTCTACAGGGCAGCTCCTGATATCAAAGAATTATCCCAGCATGTGTGTCAACAGTGCTGAGGTTGAGAAATCCTGGAGGAGAGTTAAACTGTTAAGCACATGGAATTTGGATTCAAATTACCTGGGTTTGAATTCTAGCTCTTCTGCTCACTAGTTGTGTGATCTTCGGCAATTTACATCATGTCCCTAAGTCTCAGTTTTATTCTCTGTGGAAGTTGTTGATAATAGTACATACTTTATAGGCTGGGTGGAAGCAGTAAATGAGATACTATTATGTAAAACAATTTAATAGTGCCTGGCAAAGAATAATTATTCAATACATAGTAGCTACCACCATCACTGTTGTCATTTTCATTTCAGATGCTCTTGTCATTATTCTCTGGTAGTGGAGGTGGTGGGCACCTGAATTTGTTAATTCATCTTTCTGCCTTTCTGTGATTTCACCAACATCCTCAATTATTGATGCTGGGAGAAGACACTATGATGGGAATGTACGATTGATAGTAATTGCCACATCATACCATTTCAATCACACTAATGAGTGGCTGATGGGTGATGAGTATTATCATTTAACGAGTCACCTCACTAGTGTTTTATCACAAGTTACTGCAACAAAACAGAATTTTGAGTCAGTATTTAAATAAGTAACTTGTTCATGAAAATGTAGAAGAAAAAAAATATATATAACTCTTGGGTCGTAGTATTATATGGTATCGTCTCTCATTTAGAAAACCAAAAATGCAACCAAGTCCTTCCACATTGCTGCTAGCAGTGACATATATTCTGAATGAGGTATATCCTAAATCACTTATTCATTGCAATGCACACAATGTCTGTGTG